TGGTCAACACTAAGCCCAAGGTTAGTCCCTTGTGTCACACAAGTGATTGCACTTCAGTTAAACTTATTTTGAATTTAGTTTGGCATGTGCAAACACACTGCAAGGCAAAGGACGCCCCCCACCATCTCTCTTGATTTGTACAGTTTATCTGTAGCCAGTTTTTCTCTTGGCATTCCAGAAGAACAGACACATTTCCCTCTGCCACCACGTCAGCAGGAATACAATTCCCATATATAGAATAATCAGCAGTAGCACAGCTTTAAAACTGCTGCTTTTCCAGCAAAGGACAGTTCCTTCCAGACTATAACCAAAGTATTTACCCTATCCTTGTGATCACCTTTTCCCATGCTGTGTTACCTTTTCCTTTGGCATCCATTGGAATCCCTAGCACTCTGATTTTTTTCTCTTATTTGAAGGCCCAACTTCTCCCAAGTCCCTCTAGTTCCCCTCTGTAATGGGCAAAGGGGCTACCTGGCTCCCCAATTTATTGTTAGTGTTCTAGCATTAGGAGAGGGATATTTTTCAAGGCAAACCTCCAATAATTAGATTCTATATCTGGTAAATTATAATAAATTTTCCATATATAGAATTTAACTATTAGGGGACTGTTTTATACTTGGAGTTGTCTTGTGTTCAGACAAATATGTTATTTCAGGCAGTAAACCTACCTTTAAGCCCCTTGTCAGTTTTATGGTTTTACAATCATGTTTGCTTATCTCTTCTGGCCCAAAAGTTGAAAATTATAAGCCTAAATTTATATATAGGCCTCTATCTTGCAGAACTTCAACATGTTTAACATTTCCTGCAAATATGCCTATGAGTAGGGGCCTGCCTTGATTTTTTTTTTTTTTTTAGATTCATTGAACAGTTGCAGTTTCCATTCCCTTCAAAAAGGGCAATTTGACTGGATACCAAGTGCTGTCAAGTAATAGTAACATTTCTTCTACCACTTGATCAGTTATTAAGGGATTTGACCATCCTAGATAGATACACTGGGGGACTGGATGATTTAAGAGGTCTAGTAAAGGACTGTGGAGCTGTTTACCGGTTTGAATCCAGTCTGAGTTAGTAATGATCCAAATGAGCTTGCTGTATAACTAAGGGAGAGGCCATGGCAGGGCGGAAGTTTACCAGCCTGATGTAACCTAGAGCTGAGCAGGTGAGTTAGGAGAAGTGTATGAAAATTCGAGCCAGGCTGGCTTTACTTCAGGGTTAGGGAAGTGCATAAAAAAGAAATGCTCCCTGTACAATGAGTATGTTGCAGACTACCCATGTTCAAATGTGTGATAGAGAGGATTAGCTGAAAATCTGTCCTACTGTTTTGCGGACGTTGTTGCTAACGAAATTATTTTGATTTTTTTAAATTACTGATTCTGATGATACTTCTTGTGAGGACTAAATGACTAATAACTTTTGTCCTCCATTTAGAACCCCAATGACAGAGTATATCTACCACTGTGAAATCTTGATGCTGAAAAGGTCATGGCTTAATGGTTTTTATATCAGATGCTTTTCTCTTTATAGACAGAGGGCCTGTTACTGGAGGATAGTGGCAGGCCTTACAAATGTGACACCTTCACAGCTGGTGTTTTGGATCTGACAGCTTATGTGGCTTATTCTTCTTACCTTAGAGAATCTGATCCAATATTGTAGCTCTCTAATTCTCTTCTTTGCATGGTCTGTTTCAGAAAGCAACATCATAGCTGAGGAACACTGGAAAAGCCAACCACAGATATCACAAAGTAGGTTAATAAGCAAGTATCTAATGTTTACTTGTGTGTAAGAGAAGAGTGTTGCTTTTCTTTTCTTCTTCTGGCTTGTGTTTGTGTGTGGTGTGTATATGTGTTCATGCATATGATTTAGTCTTCTCCACTTCCTAGTACACAACCTGGGAAGGCAGGAAAGGACCTGGAGGCCAGGTACCAATGGTAGAACAGGTCTCCACATTCTTTGCAGCAATTGACTATTCTTATGGGTGCTTATTTAACTCTGGACTTCAAGTGTTGCAGAAACTGGCATTTCTGTAGCAGCATCTCCACTCCTTTTGGCTCACCTTTCTTTTTATAAATGGCTTAGGGGTTGACTAGCTGACCCAGAATGAGGAAGTATTAAGGCCATGGGGAGCTTATGTCAATGCCAGTGGCTCAGATCAAGACTGACATACCAGAAACTGCATTACATGTTTTAGTGTACTTCCTTCTCAGGTCCTTAAGGTGGCAATGGCATTTTTGGGGATGAAGCAAATTCTTGCTTGCCTATTTGACTACAGCTCCATATGCTGTGGTCTTTCTTCCCTATGCTGAGTCCTTGAAGCTCTGGGTTAGAGGTGAAATTTCTTTTAAACATCTGAAGTCCTGTCTGTTGGCTGGCTAACAACTGTCGTAGGTTCTCCCTTTAGTGCAGGCCTTAAAATGGAAGCAAATTCTAGACACACATTCAGTTTAGGATATCAAAATCTAAAAATACAAATTAAACAAAGCCTACTTTGAAAGTTGCTTATAGTAGATTTTTACAGGCTTGTAGAACTGAGTGGTGAGAGCCTAAAAATGAAGTATGGAGGAGAATTCTTGTTCTCTTGGCATCATCTCTGTCAATACATGTGGAGAGGAATGTATATATTATGGGATGGTAATATGTAAATCATTGGATGAGCAACTTTGAGAGAATACTTGAGACCTCAGTTCCCAAAGGTTTTGCAAAAAGTGCAGCTTTAAAGTTAGGAAATGTGCATTAACTGTCAGAACCCAGCAGCTTATACAGACTATAGCATAGATGCAGAGGATGTATCCCTAGGGGTGCACTGATAAAGAATTTTTGAGCCGATACTAATGTCTGATTATTAACAAGCCATATTGGCTAATACCCATCCAATTGCCA